ACATGTTAACTCCACGAACGGCACGTGTTATTTGAGGCTATATAGCGCAGGGCTATGAAGCACATTTTAGTACAATATCCAATTCCAAATAAATTATTCTAAAAAATCTATATTTTGTGTGCCCAATACCATGGTAATGTGTCCTTGTATTGGTGGTGCTTCAAAGGTGTTGACATAAAACATTCCATTCCCCTTAAACAGCCTTTCTTATGGCATTTGTAAAACTTTTCCTTAATCCAATGAGACCCAAAATTACTACGATATATATGACATTCCAACCCCCACGTAATAACTTTCATTCTTACAGAAAGTTCTGAACCTGGCTAATGCTTATTCTAGTCGTGTAATCAGAAAACCACGAAGAAACACTAAATTTTGATACTACGTGCAGGACGTGTCAGAGGACCTAAAACATATAACCAAGGAAAACATAAACATGTAAACATGAAGCCACTCAGTAGGTGTCCTTGAGCGTCAATCATGTGGTGTAAGAGACTTAAACGTACGTTAAACTGACATCAGTAAGCAACAGGTCATGCGTATTCTTAACCTTAAGTTGACACACGTAGTTTATCGGTAAGCAATAGGTGATATATCTTCTTAACCTGACGATGCTAATAATAATAATTCTGTAATCAATCACTTCTTCAAAGCTATACTTTTACGTTAAATCAATAAGTTGGTTATGCCTCTGTTTATTGACGGTACTTCAAAGGTGGTGACCTTAGCTGCCCGAAAAAGTCACTCAAAAATAACGATGTTTTGAGAGGCCATATATATAACCTTGTGAAATATTTTTTTGGAAACTTAGCTATAGAATAATGCCACCGCCTTGCATGAGCACGCTGTAGTGATAAAGATATGATATAATTTTAAACAAATTCTGCCTCGTTAGTCCGAGGATCCGGACTCGAGAGCATATACTCAGCGGAACTACATTTTGTAATGGGAGCAACATACTAATTCCACGAGCGGCACGTGTTATGTGAGGCTATATAGCGCGGGGCTATGAAGCATATTTTAGTACAATATTCAATTCCAAATAAATTATTCTAGAAAATCTATATTTTTTGTACCCAATCCATGGTAATGTGTCCTTGTGTTGGCGGTGATTCAAAGCTGTTTACATAAAAAAATCTACTCATTTTTAACATACTTTCTCGTGGCCTGTGTAAAACTTTCTTTAATTCCATGAGACCCAAAATCACTACGATACATAAGACTAATCAACTCCCACATAATTACGTTCATTCTTACAGAAAGTTAAGAACTTGGCATATGCTTATTCTAACGTGTAATCAGAAAACCACGAAGGAACATTTTATTTTGGTACTAAGTGCAGGACGTGTCAGAGGACCTGAAACATATAACCAAGGAAAACATAAACATGTAAACATGGAGCAGACATGGTGGAGCCACTCAGTAGGTGTCCTCGAGCGTCAATCATGTGGTTTCAGAGACTTAAACGTACGTTAAACTGATATCAGTAAGCAACAGGTCATGCATCTTCTTTACCTTAAGTTCAACTTGATAACGTAGTTTATCGGTAAGCAATAGGTGATGCATCTTCTTAAAGGTGTTGACATTAAAACATTCTATACCCTTAAAACATCCTTTGTTGGCCTTTCTTTATTCCCATGAGACCCAACATCACTACGATACGTATGGCCTATCAACTCCCACATAATATCTTTTATTCTTACAGAATGTCCATAACCTGGCATATGCTTATTCTAATCGTGTAATCAGATACACCAGGAAGAAACGTTTTATTTTGATACTACCTGCAGTACGTGTCAAAGAACCTAAAACATATAACCAAGGAAAACATAAACATATAAACATGAAGCCACTCATTAGGTGTCCTTGAGCGTCAATTATGTGGTGTAAGAGACTTAAACGTACGTTAAACTGGCATCAGTAAGCAACAGGTCATGTATCTTCTTAACCTTAGGTAGATACACGTAGTTTATCGGTAAGCAATAGGTGATATATCTTCTTAACCTGACGATGCTAATAATAATAATTCTGTAATCAATCACTTCTGCAAAGCTATACTTTTTACGTTAAATCAATACGTGGGTTATGTCTTTGTTTATTGACGGTACTACAAAGGTGGTGACCTCAGCTGCCCAAAATAGTCACTCAAAATATAACGATGTTTTGTTAGGCTCTATATATAACCTTGTGAATTTGTTCAAAACTTAGAATAATGCCACTATCTTCTAAGCACATGTTGTAGTAATTAAAATATGATATATTTAAAGAAATACTGCCTGGTAAGTCCGAGGATCCAGACTTGAGAGCATATGCTTAGCGGAACCACATTTAGGTATGGGAACAACATGTTAACTCCAAGAGCGGCAACCAAGTGTTATGTGTAGAGCGAGGGGTTATAAAGCACATTTAGCACAATATACAATTATAAATTTATTCTTTTAGCAAATCTATATTTTGTGTGTGACCAATACTAAGTGTCCTTGTATTGGCGGTGATCCAAAGGTGTTGACATAAAAACAACATATACCCTGAAAACATCCTTCGTTATGACCTTTGTGAAACTTTCTTTTATCAAATGTGACCCAAAATCTCTACGATACATATGACATCTCATGTCTCACATGATAGCTTTTATTCTTACAGAAAGTTCAGAACCGGGAATATACTTATTCTAAATGTGTAGTTAGTTGACTATAAAGAAACATTTTATCATAATGCTACGTGCAGGACGTGTCAGAGGACACAAAACATATAACCAAGGAAAACATAAACATGTAAACATGAAGCCGACATGGTGGACCCACTAGTCGACCTCAAGCGTCAATCATTTTTTTTTAAACTTACATCATGGATTCACCACAATACAAAGCTCATGAGAGCCACTTAAATACTTTGGTTATTGTACAGCCAGAGACGACAGCTGTTTGTTGACCTTAGACTTGAAACGTTTAATCTTGTGGTGTCAAAATCTTAAACGTCGGTTTATCTGACATTTGTAAGCAACATGACATGCACCGTCTTATCCTTTGAGTTGATACACTCATTTTTTTTTCAAAAAATCACTTCTGTAAACCTGTATCTTCAGATCAATACGTAAACAAGTATATTGACAGTAATGCAGAGGTGGTGACTTAAGTATGCTCAAAAAAGAAACTCAAAATAAAGAGGCCATATATGTATATATATGTAATATATATAACATCTGTGTCCCTAATATCACCAGGGTCCATAATATCGCCACCTTGAGAACTAGTGTGCTTAAAGATATTTTTACTGCAACATATCCTAGGTATGTACATTTGATGTGTGAAGGAGTGCATACCAAAAGTATGTTGCAGTAAAAATATCTTTAAGCACACTGTTTTTCAAGGTGGCGATATTATGGACCCTTGTGATATTATGGACACAGATGTTATTTGCATATACCTTTGTGAAACCTTAGCCTTAAGCTTGTCGATGCAATAATTAAAAAAAAAATTGCCTAGTTCGTTACTGCCAGGTCTGTAGACGTCTATCCTTAGCTACTAATTTCATAATTCAAAATTTTAGACAATGGAACACAGCGGAACCAGTAACATGTCAACATGGCTCCAGCAAGTTACTCAAAAGATGTCCTCGAGTAAAGGTGACCTCGAGCGTCAATTGTGTGATGCGCAAGGCTACAGATAAATAAGTATACGCCCCGGACAGACGTGCGTGGTGACGATTTGCATGTCGGTTGCGTCAGCCTAGAGAAAAGACCGTTTGATCTAAGCCGATCGGTTACATCAGTATGCATACGGATCAAATCAAAACATGTCGTCACGCGAATATATATGAGGAATATTACAATGAATGAAGACCTTTATTGTACATTTTGCCCCACTGGGCTAAAGACAGGTCACATATTGACAAAGTACATCATCAATGTTGATAATAAAACTGCTATAGTACACAAGTACTTTCAACTTCCTCTCGCTTTCTGGTAATCTTATAAACACTCATTTAATGAAGAAGATTATCTTAAGATCGCAAATGTACGTCACAGATCTGCCATTACTAAACTAAGAATCAGTTGTCACAATTAACGAATTGAATCAGGAAGACATAACCGCACTCCTCTAGAGCAAAGAATCTGCCAATATTGTAGTTTAGGTAAAGTAGAAGACATAATTTTCAATTTCATCTGTTGTTTTTGGGCTACTTTTAACTAAAAGAGCTTGCAATCTGTCTACGATTTGGGGTTGGCTGAGGGATTGGATAAATTGTTCTGCTGAGTTTTCAGTCCAATGAAATCTTTTTGGAAGGGGTTTTGTGTTTACAATAACACTTCCAAGAAATGGTCGATATTTTGACATGACGTTAGTGTTTTAAGGTATATGTTTTGTGTCCTAGGCCTAATTTGCCCCATCCTCCATTTTGCAACGCAGAATTGAAAGAATGAAATGTAGAAACAAAGACAGAATTTTAGTAAACGTGTTCTTAATATGATAAGTAGAATGTGGCTACTGTTTTAGAAGGTTTGTCATATTATTAATTATTATAAGTTTAAAAGAAATTTGGTAGGACTTTTAATATTCACAATCTTGCCACCCGTCATGTATCCGCATTGAAAAGGAAACCTTTTCATTTAAAACTGGTGAAATAATCACATACGAGACCATTTTATCAACCATCCTTCTAATAAACCATTATCGTCTTTAATCAAAGCATATTAATGTGAATGGACGTAATCCACAGATATATCACTCTAGATCTCTTGATGGTGGTCATATGTCACTTTTGCGCACACCTAGCATATACTTCGTAATATCCTTACCAAACTGACCAATCCCGACCCATCTGACCCGATCAAAAATAAACCTTGAATACACGCACGTATGTCCCATTATATAGGACTGATAGAAATCTCTGCATTCGTCATCCGGAGATTTATAAACAACACGAAGCTCACGAGATCGCCAGAACGTCTCCCAGCGATCCCGTTGGAAACTTGTCTTCATTCTTCCTCTCTATTTTAGACTGAGACGAAAATTGCCGTGGCTGAAGACTACAAGATGAGGGTCCTCGCACACATCGCCGTTCTCTTCGTGATTCTACCTCTACTTCCCGTTGCAAGTAAGGATTAAGACATATTTAACTGGCTTAAAGCATAGCGGATCTAACATGTGTATCCACCATAACAGCAGTTTAGCCCTTAAAGCGGTAAACTGCACCAGTGCCAAGTTTTAAGGATTTCTTACTTAATTCTGTTTTGTTTTAACAAATCTTTAACGGAGCTGGGCGGTGCCTAGAGATCAGTTAACACCTTTGATAAAACCGCGGACACTTTAGTCGTTTGATGGTTGGATATTTTCGGGTCTATCTCAGATCTTGTCATTGACAACAATCCACGCGCAACAGCTTAATTTCGTTTCAAAATGCCCCAAATTTGCCGGTGTTTATTATTGTATGGCTTTGTTATAATAACGGGACCGGTAAGGTTTGATTTTAGGTCATGTTTTTGTTGGATTTGATACATTTCTTTTTTACGTGGCAAAAATGTTTTTTTTTTAAGTGGACTAGACAAAAACATGTTTGCCCACACGTATACGGATGCAGAGGTTAGGTTATGTCCGGGATTCAGAGACTCTCTGTGTGGTCTGTTTTAGGGTAACACGACACCTTACTTTCTTGGGTTTTATTTAAAAGGTAGCACCTGAAGATCATCAAATCCCTGACCAAAGCTCTAGCTTCTTTCTCATTCGTCTTTTTCCTATAACGTACAGATGTTCGACACAAAGACAAAAGGACGTTTCTTGCAATGCACTAATGGTACAGTATTGCGTGCAGCTTGCAATGCACTAAGTGGCATTTCTTTGCACGCAATGCCATTCTAAAAAGTATTTGATAGGAAAGAAAATAAGGTAGAACGAAATACACCAGAGCTGTTACAATAATTGTTGGTTATGTATTTGTTTTAATTACGTAGGTTATTAGAGGAAGACGTGTATGCCCGACCATTTGAAACCTCGGCCCCTTTCTATCCCTCTATCTACTCTTTGTTCTCACTGACGTTTAAGTCCTAGAGGCTCCTTGGAAAGATTTTTCTTAGGTTTGACTATTATTTTTTTTTAATTCTATGTAGATTATGAACGACTGCGTCAATAAGAGCTATGAAAACCATTTAATAATTGACTTAATTCATGGATGAGGTCCGTGCGCGCATTGATTTTTGCCTATTCTCCAAAACATGACATTTTTAGACACTCTTGCCTTTGTGCTATTACATGCGGCAAAAGGAAGCCGGCGGTAACTTCGGAGGATGGTACTTAGGCTTGTCAAGCTCCATGTAACTAAAGAACTCATTACAGTGCCGACTTGAATGCAACAAAGGGCCAGCATGTCCCGATTTGCCGTGAAAGTAATCATACACTACTGCTACCACCGCAAATTCACAATACCACCTTCGTATTTCTGTGGTTTAGCAGTTCATTTCTGACTGGATTTAGTTTTTACATTATTTGCCCGCGCGCACTAGTCATAGGGTGACAAGTGCGCGGCATAGATGGCATCCTCTGAAAATTTACGGTGGAAAACTAGGATTTTTAGAGGATGCCATCCATAAAATTGCGTCAGTGTGGGCTAATGCCCGTAATATGTTAGATAATCCCATTTTTAGACCATGGCTTTTCTCGCCCTTCAGAAGTGCACATGCAAGAATGGAAGAATTCTGTGTTTGGGCAGGGCCTGAAAATGAGCAACAAAATCATCCTAAATTTGTCCGTGAAGCATCTCTTCACGAATGAATTTCCTTCACCTAGGTGAAAAAAAAATTAACGAGTACTTAGCTTTGGTTAGATTCATCCCCTAGAAATGTTGTTTATGAAGGATGGTATTCCAAGAAGTAGAGGCACCAGCCACAATGATCGGACATGCCAGGGATCCTTTCCGTGCAGTGCGTGGGTGTAGATCAAAACCATTCCGGTCCGAATGTAGCCGGGAATACCGAGTAGCATTAGCTTCATAACTTTGTAAGACCTTACTATCAGTTAATCCAACTTGTCCATATGATTGATCTTTGAAAGAAGAAACTCTGATTCGACAACCCATACACCATTGCTTAGGATGCTTGCAAATACTAAGGTGTATAATTATGTCCCCAAAATTAAACCCTGCCCATTTATTTTGGACAAGGCCTCTGTCTTTTTGATCTACCCTTATATTGACAGGATCAGTATCTGTTGACGCCTATCTTATCACTTTACTATAAATAAAAAGTGATCGATGGATGTTTATACTCGGATAACCCTCCTTTACTCTTTGTTTACAGACGCTTCTGATCAAAACTGTTGGCAGCATATCAAAGAGCCATGACGCACAGTGACATGTTTTTGGCGGTTTGATTGAAATTAAACACCAAATCTGCAAAACATTTCAGACCACCATTTTGTTGAGGGGCCTAACAACGCAAAGAAATGTCTTGAATTTTGATTAAAACCGCCGCTAGATAATAATAGGCAAGGTCATTACATTTACAAAGTACCTTCTTTTTCAGAAACTTTCCCAACCAATGAAAAGCAGAGGGAGAGCTTCACTGGAAGCGAGATCGCAGTAAAGACAGTAAGTTTACTAATCTGACTGCGACAATGCTGTTCAAATTTCATGAAATGATTCTGAAAGTTTGTCTGTGTGAACGTGTGTAGTGTACCCGTGTGTGTATGTGTGTGTGTGTGTGTGTGTTGCACATGTAAACGTGCAAATGTATGTGTGTGCGTGTGCGCAACAAGTCTGAAATTTTAAACATTAGGTTTGTGTGTCTAGGTTTCTGTGTAATACAATGTGTATGCACGTGCATGTGAGCGCGTGTTTGTGTCGGTATGTATGCACAAATGTGTCTGTGTGCTTGTGTGGGGTTATATGTTTGTGCATAAACATTGGTTGCGTATATGAGAGTTTATCTCTGTGTTGGTGCGTGTGTGTGTATGTTTGTGCGTATATGTATATGCCAAAAAAATAGATCAATGCACACACAACATAGATTTATGCAGCATAGTACTCTAAGTAATAAATATGACAGAAATTCCTAGTTCGGATATTGAACTAAATCGGAAATAAAACACACACACGCAAAACAAAAACAAGTCTTTTGTTGAACAGGTTGCAAAAAGGAGTACTGAATGCAAGAACGTGTACAGCAACTGTGCCTGTAACTACTACAAACTGAAGAAGCACTGTGACTCTCCTGTTTACCGAGTTTGGATGCATGAAAACTGCGCCGCAAGTTGTGGAGTCTGTGTTGTAGGTAGGGACTACAAACCATGATTGCATTTAAAGAAATAAATACATGCATATTATTTCAAAGACAACATAAGATCTCTACATTCTTCAACATTTAATATAGATTAAGAAATCACGTTGTTTTATATTTTAAAAGGTATGAGGGGATGATTATACAATGAATTATGTCAGAAATTAAAATAGTTTTAATCTTAAACATTTTGTGTTATTTCAATTTGCATTCATTTTGAAATATTTGAGTAATTTACTAACATATCTGACATTAATGGTTAGGACTAAAACATAAAGACTATTTATTCTACATTAACATGCATAGCTTTGAACTGTTTCCAACTTTTAATCACAAACCTAAGGTGTCATATTTTGTCACCTGTACAACCTAAATACGCTCTTATATGCAATAGAGAATGATTTTTCCGGCTTACTTTGATAAAAAGAAGAGGAAATTTTGTTGTATTATACTAATGTTATATATTAAATCTTTAATACCCTTATCATTTATTATAGATCCCTTATTTTTCGTGTGTGAAAACAAGTATCCGGATCAGATGTGCGAAATTTTCGCCAATCGCCGTCTTCAGGAAAAGCCACGCTTGCAGTATTTCATGGCGTGTAACTGTCCCAAAGCTTGTGGAATCTGCAATATGCGTAAGTTGTTTTCATCAGTTTAGTTAGTATTACCAACATTTTTAAAATATAAAAAAAAATATTTAAGTGTTTTTTTCGTAAGTTGTTTTCATCAGTTTAGTTAGTATTACCAACATTTTTAAAATATAAAAAAATATTTTAGTGTTTTTAATATTTCTATCAATGCTAAAAATGCAAAATGCTAATATGAAAAACAAATGATTAATAAAACCCTTAGATGTTGAACAACAAAACAAATAAAAAAAATAGAACTAGTTATTATATATAGATACAGAAGTAGTAGAAAACATTAAAGCTTAGAAAATAAGATCGGCATAAAGTTTTTTAGGGGAATGTCCGAATGATTATAAGTTTACATTATAAAATTCAAATAGCCATTCAACCATAGTTTTAACGTGTTTATTTTAGCTTCACAGATATTTTTGTGGCTCTAAATTATATTTGACCAGAGCATAGGCCCCTCATGTTATGCCAGCACTTGGCATCCTTTCGTAATATTTTTATATTTCTTTCTATTTTATCCCCAAAGTCTGATTTTAACTCATACTTGTGTGATTCGAAATGTAACTGATGTAAAGAACAAAATGTGTCCCTAGCGTTCGATACCCGAGAGTCAACAGAAAAAGAAGATGACACATTTGCACAGGATGATTGTCTGAAGCTCCACAATGATATAAGAAGGATTCACGGTGCTGAGGATCTGACTTGGTGTCAGGTAAGTAAAGAAATAAAATAAACTGAATATTAACTCCAGCCAATGTTGCTCACATGACATAAAGGCTGCTGAGAACGGTCGCAATCCTGAGTAGCGTGTAGTCCACAGTTCATTATGCTTGACGGAAAGGGGGGAATTTCCCTTATATAATGAATCTGCAAATACTGGACATAGCTTCTGTCCTCTCTATCACAACTAAATAAGCTCTACAGTGAGCTAAAACAGGACCAAAGTCACTTTCCTTTTTCCTTTTTTATTTGCAACAGTATTGTACGTTGTATGTCGCATAGCTGTGTTTTTACTTTTAAGGGGATGACCTATTATTTGAAAAAAATTTAAAAAAGAAGGAAACGAATAAAATTCCGGTCCATTTTGAGATCAGGATATCAGTCAGAACTGGAACATATCATCAATTTGTCAAAACAACCTCAACAACAACAAAAGATAAGCTTCTATGGATTAAAATTGTAATAACTGTTGATTTAAATTTTTATTACATACAAGTATATACAAATGAATTGGATCAGAAAAACGCCCTCTATCGTCAAGGCACTGTAGTGTTAGCCATCAAGAATTTAGGGATCTAACTTCTTAAATAGTTTTCGGAGGCAAACCCGGATTTTAACGTATTCGTTTGCTTTACCGGATGCCACAAAATTCCTTTGCAGAAGTGTGCGGAGTTTGCGCAGCAAGTAGTGACGGCATTACGGGACGCCAATTCTCCATTGCAGCATTCAAGCCCAGTATACCGCAGGTGGTTGGTGGACGGTAAAATGGTTCCGTAAGTTCCGTTTTTAATTATTTAATTATATTTGGTAGATCAGAACAATAACCATTGTAGTAAAATAAGTAATGTCATGTTTGCAGGAATATGAAATATTGAACTGATATATTTATCATAACTTATCAGATTTGACAAACTGGTATATAATGCTTTTAATTCTAACGTTCCCAAAAGTTCAAGCCATCGCCTCGTTGTTACGATATTGTTATAGATTCTTTTTGAAATTCTTATTATATTCATGGCAATGTAGTACGCCCCGATGTTAACATAAACCTTTGTTTAATACATATAAATACATTGAAAACTTATGTAAAACTACCGGACGTTTGCAAAATCAAGAATTGACAATCTTTTCCTCCTTCTTTTGCAGACATGGAGAAAACCAGATGTACAATTTTCCAAAAGTGGACTGTAAAACAGCTGTGAATTCCTGGTACGAAGAAAAGCCGCTTTACAATCAACGCCATCCTCTACGGGATGTGGAAACTGCTGGTCACTTTACTCAGGTAAGATCTCAGGTAATGCAATTGTGGATCTGAATAAAACTCAAACTCAATTTACAGCAACACAATTAAAAACCATTTCCAAGGAATCGCATTTAGCATATTAGTGACGGGTGTCAGTTTCTGATTCTTTTAATTCATGTACAGTGGTTGATTATATGATATGATGATGATGATATGAATCTTTATTGCATGTTCTTGCCCAGATGGGCTAAATGCACAAGAGGATGTCCAGTATGTAAAACATGAGTATTTCATACTGGTACGCTATATTCTAATGCAAAAGTGCTAGGAATGTATACATTACAATAATACTGTAAACTACCTATCATCTACTGTTAGTTGCCCTTTCTTCTCTCTTTTTAAAACATTTGGAAACGTAATTACATAGTTTGTCTACTGTACATTCGTTCTTGTTTGACATCAAGTGTTTAAACATGTCCTGCTTTAACATTTTCTTACAAATATAATCAAGAGTGGATCTGAGGAACCCCCGGGGATCACAGCGGGTAATTAGCGGGTCTCTGGTCCCTCTCTCCGCGTAACTTCAGTCTGCCTTAGGTTTAGTCTCCCACATCACGACTAAATCCCTCCCACCATTTTCGGCGACGTCTCAGGGAGGAGCCTAATGGTACAGTATTGTGTGCAGTTTGCAAGAATTCTAGGAATGGTACAGGCGTTTTTTCCACAGGAATTGAATGTCCACAGGCATGTCTCTGACCCACATCTATGACCACATTCCTGGAAACCCTTGGCCAATTGGGAAGACATCTCTGTCCCGGATGGCCCTATTTTCTGTGATCCCGGGGCTCGGGTTCACTATACACTCAGGGGAGTAGTGCACTGTATCTGTCTAGACTTAACAGGTTCCAAGTCTTCCTAAAAATCATGAAATGATGACAGTGCCATGCAAACAATAACCCTAACAGCAACCACCGTCGCCATGGCAATGTATGTTTTCATTGCCAGTCTTGTTTAGGTATATTAGAGATCCACAAGTGCCTTCAGAGTATTTAGCAGGAACATGTGTATGGCTTGTTGGCACCGCCTCCGTTTACATGTATATACATTTCTATGACCTTTGAATTCTATTTTCTGTCTCCATGTTTACCTTTAAACCCACTTTCCTGTCACCTCTGTTTTTAAATCAACACAACCAACCAACCAGACACAAAACATGTAAAAAGATGCAACGAAAATAATGAACTCCATTGATGCCGGTAAAATGGCCAATTGTTTCTACTCTTCTTTCTGGCTGGAAAGAACAACTTAGAAACACTAGTAAACTTCATACATATTCTAAAATCAAAAAACACTTTGGCATGAAAGATTATCTCACATCAATTTATAATAAATCGTTCGTAACTAGCATAACTAATCTAAGAATCAGCACAACACACCAGCCACTCAGAGACTGTGTCCCACTTGTAATAAGAGTATTGAAGATGAATTTCACTTTGTTATGACTTTTTCCACATATAGTTAAGAAAGAGATACATTGTTACAGACTATTACTATTAAGACAAAGTTCACCCAATCTGGTACACAGTACGATACATTCCATGAATTATTGTCATGCCCAACTACCATATATGCTTACGTAGCCAAATTTCTGTACACTTTATTTCCTAAGCGAGACCATATCATAAATACATGAACATATTGTAAATCATATACTGTATAGATAGTAGTTTGTAGTAAGAAATGTAATAAGATAGTTTAGTTTTGTAGATTCGTTGTATTTCTGCCACACATTGTACCATGTACGATTGTCGAGCAATAAAGTTCATTCATTCATTTTTCACTTCAGATGGTGTGGAAGGCCACGACTTCTGTTGGCTGTGCTGGGACTGAACGCTATTTTTGCTGCATCTATGAACCAGCAGGAAATATTAAGTCTTATTACCAATACGAAAAGAATGTCCAGATATAGATACGGAGAGTAAACGTATCTTCAAATAAATATTAAACTCAACGAAAAAGTGTTATTAGAGGCACAAAATTAACATCTTTTTGTAAGATTTTATCTCAGACAAACACCATTAAAACCAACAATGGTAACTCAAATAATGCCCATGCATTCCCATCTTTCAAATCTTAAAAAACATGAAGAAGACATTTCCGATTTCTTCTTATGTGTTAAATTGTAATGATTATTTAAGATACGTATTCTTTAATTTTTGGCCCCGCAACGAAAATATTTACCTTTAAGTTGATACACCGTACAAGAATAAAATGTTCCCGTCTGTAGTTGATTATGCTGCATACTGCATTACATTTATAATTTACATAGCTAAATCTCAATTAGGTAAATATGCAAATTTTCAACATTCCAGTAACTTCTAAAGGTAGGCAATGTTTTGCATATTAAAAATACAATGAAACAAATCAACTCTCTTTTACTTTTGATGGTAATAACTAAAGTAATAATACATGCATCCGTAAACCTATATTGTTACTACATAGAAGGTAGAATACAATACAATACTAATATTACTTAATATAGAAGACAAATATGAGTCCCTGGCTATAACGATAATAGTACAAACCACTATTATTAATTGGTACTGTTAGTAACCGTTTTTCCAAATATAAGAAGCATATAGTTTCAATGCAGGGGGCCATTAAATATGACCTTATATCTTCTATGATTGTAGAATCATAGTCAGTCGTCATATTTAAAAAAGTTTTCGTAAGAAAACGTTAGAAATTTACAAACATCTGCACACGTTTTACGTGTTAGACTGTCTGAAATTGCTATGGAATAAACACTGCGACAGTAATAAGTAATGCATCTGTTATATTGTCGACAAATAGTCCTAAATAGGAATATTACAATCAATAGTCAACTATGTAATAGGGCGACCTAAGGGTTTAAAAATATGTGCAAGTAGTTACAGAGATAAATACGCAGTTTTCTATCATGTACCTAGGGGGCGCGACTGGGTTGCTTTGGTAAAGTTGGTGTTGATAAAACTTCTTTGTTAAAAGTCATCTCTGCAAAAAAACATCAACAAGTTATCAAATGTGCGTGTTTCAGACTGTGCCTGTATTCGTGTGTGCGTTTGTGCATGTGTGTGCGTGTGTGTGTGCCTTTTCTCATGTACACGCGTGGGTGAGTGTATGTCTCTGTGTGTGTGTTCTTGTGTGTTTGTGTTCTTGTGTGTGTGTGTCTGTGAGTGCAAACACAGATCTCGTTTTTCTTAGGATGCGATTCTGTCCTCTTGCAAGTTCAGAACTGTAGTTTTGTCTGCAATAATCCGAATTGCACCGTGACATCGTAACGGTAAGTGGAACGGTAAGTAGAATATGGATAGAAACAATGCACTTACATAAATAAAATTCCTTCCTTCCTTCCTTCCTTCCTTCCTTCCTTCCTTCCTTCCTTCCTTCCTTCCTTCTTTCCTCCCTTCCTTTCTTTCTTCCTCCCTTCCTTCCTTTCTTCTTTCCTTGCTTCCTTGCTTCCTTCCTTCCTTCCTTTCTTACTCCCTTCCTTTCTTCATTCTTTCCTTCCTTTCTTCGTTCCTTCCGTCCTTCCTTTCCTCTCTCTCCCTTCCTTCCTTCCTTCCTTCATTCATTCATTGTAAATGATGCGACATTGAGCCCCCTTCTCACACAGTAGATTATAGCCTACAATTAAAACACTGTCGTCGGGAGAAGCTAAAGGACAGATGTGGTTGGCTAAAGGTCGGCTACTGTTTGAATGTGACAACCGAATGCTTCAGGATGTTTAGAATATTAGATGGGTGGTTTGGCCATGCTTGACTGGTGGTTAACTGCTGTTCAAGATTAGGATGGTTTTATCGGCATTTCCTTAGGTCAAACGTGGTCAGACTGCCCAAATTTGGGCATACTGCTCTTCAGCCAACCTCAGTTAAAGGGGTGTTTTCAAATGTGTGGCTGGGGTTTTAGTTTATAGGGTTCGGGGATGCGTTTGTCTAGCAAAAAAAAAATACTAAGAAAATGACGGGTATGTCAAATACTTCTAGAAAACGTATTCCATGTCAAGGCGATATATATTCCAACTATTAGAACATGTCAACAGTTCATAGAGCCGGGGAGGTCGTCAACTTACGAACGAAGACACCAAACACTCAACTACAAGGTTCCACTAAGTCGTACCGAAAGACACAGACAATCCTTAATTCCCAGAACTCAAAATCATGCAGCAGAAGCAGTTGTAAATTGAGTTTCAGACTCTTCTTCTGCAGATTTTTTGTGTGTTAACTTGTCTTAAAATTGTATATTCATGTCGCCACGTTATATATACTATATTTGAATTAATGATGACTTATTCCATTTTATCTATATCGTTGAATTTTAGACTGTTTGTATGTTGACTTTTAGACTGTTGTAAAATTACAACACAATTTAGGAGTTTCTCCCGCCATATTGTGAAAGTAAAACCGTCCCTAAGATTTTTTAAAACTATTCAGAAACACAATGATTACAAATGAAAAGACATGGACTAAGTGGCTGCGAACTCAAGTTAGGTACAACTTATATTCTCGCAGCCACTTTTACAATAAAAGAAAATATTTTACAAGACATTAAAAAAATACATGAAACCTCGCGTGAGTAACAAACCTCCCATCCCAGAAGACACATACAGTTAGAATCTTTTTGTTTCTAATATATGATTTTGTGCGGCTGACATTATTTGGCAGTTGGTATCATACGAACAAAGGAAACTACCGCGAAGAACTGAATATTGTGTAGAATTATCAGAAAGGGTGCTTAAATCAACAATATTACCGAGTATGCTTGAAAGCTTGCCAAAGAGGACTAAGCGCTGGTAGGTGTATATAGGGCAGTGCAATAAATAATGAATAATGAGCAATCGTTTCATATAGACACCCGCAGCTACAGGATGGACTTGTAACAAGACCCCTAAGATGTTATTCCTTAAAAAAGCGACATGAACCAAATTTTACTTAACCATGCATCATTTAGCTGGCTTCTTTTATTGTCACATTTAACTAAAACGATAAACTGTAAGGTGGAGATGTTCTCATCAACTTACATTTATCTTAAATTACTATATTTGGCATTTTTGACATTGATTAAGATTCATTAAACTACAATTCTTTTTACGGGCTGACGTTCTGCCTCATTCTAAAAGCATTCTTTGTATTGCCCGTCGGCTCATAAATACAGGCCATGTAGTTCTGTGTCCAAGCACAACCAACTCTTCCTGTACCCTTCCACACCACCTGTTGGAGAAAGGGCAGATGGCATTGTTAATTTTTATCTAAATAAAGTATCATACAAAATGGTAATTATGTTAAAGATGCGGCAATTATGTTATTTGGCATGACAAAGTATACTAAATTAAAGCATCTTTACACCTATGAAAGTCATTGAAAGAAACAAATACTAGGTATTAATAAACTACAAAAGGAATTGAGCATACATCATATCTGCGTAGTAGTAATTCACTTTTTTTTGAGAAATTGATGTAGATTGTTGAATTTCGCAAATAACTATATATCTAAAAAAATCTATGAATTATTTCAAATAGCCATAACTTGCAGTAAACATACAAATGGTGAACAGTTGACATGCAGTCAGAAAATTTCATTTAATCGTTTCGTTTAAGATGTGTGTGGATGTATTCGTACAAAGTTTACTAGTACGTTTACAATAGCCTCTACCAGGCTTGGGGAGGCGGCTGGAAAGAGTAAAAATCGGCCAAATAGAGAAATAAGCATGTCAAAGGAGTTTGTCCGTTGAGAGAACATTTCGCGGCGAACTGTTATCTCAACGGACAAACTCTCTTGGCATGCTTATCTCTATATTTGGCCAATTTCTACTCTTTCCAGCCGCCTCCCCAAGCCTGGTAGAGGCTACGCTTACAACTCGTGAGAGCTAAATAGAATCGCTGGAGATTAAAATGTTAGACACAGATAATTATAAAAGAGTTGGGTACAGCACATAGGTGGGGCGATTAACAGAGAGGTTAAACACAGGAAAACCTAGTCAAAACCTTAAGTTTTCAAACATTCTATCACTTCATACGATTTAAGACTTTACATCTCTGACCTGTGTAAAGTGACCGGCTTGCCCTAAGGACTTAACAGGATGGCGTGGATCGTATAGATCTATTTCGCCGTACCAGGACTCCAAAGCTATCGCACAGTCTACCTGGGGATACTCGTACTGCAGGTTTTCTCCGTGCCTAAACAAAAATGTACGGTGAATATGACGTAAAGGAAAGGCAGTATGAAGCAAGTGATTTATTAAAAATTAAATTTTAAACAATGTACTAGAATTTGAAATAATAGAATCCGACAAATAAATTCATATGCAATTATAAACATAATTGGTATATATACGCCTTCTTCCTGCAACCTGTTTTTTCTTTTCTATAACTTTCTTTCTTTCTTTCTTTCTTAAATGTGCAAATAAATACGAAAAAGAGTTCCGCGACCTCATACCTTGGTCATATTTGCATAAACCATATCAGTTAATAACTCCTCTGGCAACTTGCAGTCTAATCTTTCGATAACACGCGATTATAACATCTCATCCTGATTTGCATTTTTTTCATTTATTTAGTCAAGCTTTACTTTTAAGACGTACATACCGAAACGCACGACAATTCGTCGATCGGTTCTTGAGTTATCCTCATTCGAAAACTTTAAAATATTTACTGCAGCAGTTCCAGTACGCGCTGACTAAACCGTTGACGCTTCTTCCCAAGAAGAAAAGGTATCTTCCATACAGATTTCGTGTCCCTACCCTGTCTAGATTATAAGATATCAAAACTGAAGTTCCTGCTGCAGTACAAAGGAAAGCGGGGCCCAAAATGTAATATATTTAAATGAGGCCATCCCATGTACACACCGAATATTATTAAATTTTATTCATACATTCTTGAGTTAAGCCGTTTACAAAAAAATACAGACAGAGAGACAGGCAAATGGACAACGCTACTAAAAACATAACCTTCTTGGCTAAGGTAATACAGGGAACAAACAAACCTTCTCCAGAATAACGGGAAAAAAATACTTACAAGACTAATTTACCACCAACAAGCCAAATACGGTCTTTTTTGCTTGAATGTAGCAATGGTTTATCGCCATCTTGCATCATCTCTACAAGTTCTTTTGCAAAATCTGCACACTTCTGTTGGGACAAAACAATAAAGAAAATGTACAGAAACGTCAAAAACACTATTGGTTACTTCTAAATATGACCTTGTACTTATGAATCAAAATGATAACACAGCAGGCTATGTCCTGCAAGGGAAGAAAGCTACCCTTGTATTGGGTTATATTATAGAATTCAATAAAACATTATCCTCAAGTTTGACAATTTTAACCCTCTTAAACGCCATTTTCCGCATTCTGATAGACAACAAATTGTTGAGTAAAGGTAAGTTTAATTCGTCCGCGAATGCTAGATAAAGTCGGGAAGGGCGGCAATTTTCCGTCTCTTAAACAGTCGATGCCATTTAAAACGGTCGATGCCATTTCGTTGAATGGTGGATGCCATATCCTAGCCTACCATAACTTTTTGAGGGCCAAAAACGAATAAAAAGTAATAAATACTATAAAAAGCAATATTCTAGTTGCAAATATAAAGGAAGGGTCATGTAGAATTGTAAATATTAGTGAAAAAAACGCACAAGCTCGGGTTCGAACCCGGGTACAAAAGTGTAGCTCTAAAACCCTTACCTATACCCTTACCCTCTACGCCACGAAACATCATGGTGTGGATGGACCGTGCTGATACACTTAAAAGTAGCCCTTCTGCGATATGGACTCGACCATCAAAAGGCGATGTCGGTTAACAGACGGAAACTAGCGGCGGGTCGGGACAGTACCAGCGGGATCTTCAGTCCACCACAAACATTAAATTCTTCAAAAAACATGTCAACACTTATAATACATACTTGACACCACGTCAGGGGTGCTGCCCCATGGTGACTCCTCTTCTCATTGTGGAGCCTCAGACAGTCCTCCTCATCAATGACCTTGGGCGTAGTAACTGGTGTTACGTCTGTTGTTGCTAGTTCCGTTGTTGTTGGTTCTGGTGTCGCTAGTTTTAGAAATGGATTGACATTTAGATTAAAACATCAAATCTGAAATGTTACTTCTTAAAGGGAGTAATTATGTATATAGGTGTAAACACTCTTCTGCTACAGCAACGACAGCTCCATCGTTTCAGGACTTTAAACAGGTCATTAACCCTACCTAGACCGGGCTTTTTTTGACATGGGGGGACCGGGGGGGGGCGCTCTTTGACCCCCCTAAGAACTCGCGAACGGTATGTCGTATGACCACCAAATTTTCAGAGAATGGTGTACTAGTGAAAATTTATCATATCTACAATTTTTATGTCGTTATGACGTAATATGACGTCATTATGACGTCATTAATGTGATTTTATTGGCCAAAACCGTCTAAATAGGTTTTTCCCTAAAAACCTCCCTGGTATACAACATAACTTTACCAAAAGTGTTTATGACAGAATATTAGTGTGTACTAAGTCTTATGTTGCCCATAGCAACACCGGTGACGTCATAAAATGACGTCATGCATATTTAAGATATCCGCCATCTTGGATCATCAATCTTGAATTTTCAAAAATAGTTTTTTTTCATGATAAAGCCTAAAATACATTGTAAACATACTAAACACCTTCATTCAAACCTTTTTTGTAAAAAGAAATGGAAGTATTGATAAAATTTTAATGAAAATAACCCGTATATACCTGTTCTAATGATATGGTCCGCCATCTTGGATTTTGGCCAATGACGTCATCAAATTAGCATAAATTATGCATATTTAATGATAAAATTTACATAAAATTATATGGGATGTTATTAATATTAGAAACCATGAGTAACTTGACATAAAACCCATAAAATTCTATTGTTGAAACAAAAAGTACTAAATTTAGCAAAAAATGCCTGTCAGAAACCCGTTGCCATGGCAACACAAAAAATTATTATCTTATTCCAATGATAGAGAATTGTTGCCAACAATATTTTAGGAAAAGTCACCAAGTTTGGTCGTTTTACGGCTAGCCGTTCAGACGCTAGGTAACATCAAAGTTGCCGCGGGCACTTTTAGCCCCCCCCCGGTCTAGGTTGGGTTAAGAACAGGACTTGATTTAGTTAATGTTGAGTATATTGTATTTTAATAATTGTTTATGTACTGTGTATGTGTTGTATGTATTTTTATGTGTATCCAAGATTACCTGAAAAGCAGTCCAAAATAGCCGTAATTACTGGCTGTAATTACTGGTAAAAAAAAAAAACTGAAATTGGAGTGTCGCTGTTAATCATTGACCTTCATATTCTGTGAGTGACCATTTTAGCTCCTGTCATACTATTCATCCGTACGTACACACATCTTAACAGCTTGGCCACCATTATTGATATTGCAATTCGAGAATAGTAAAGCTTGATAAAAAGCTACACAAAGAAAAATTACCGACCTGTTAATCTATACTACTGACCCTAGTATGATAGTAAATATAATAAATATATGGAGATTACACATAACATACATATATGGAGATTACACAAAACGGAGCTACCTGAAAAAAGCGAGAGTAGATATACGCCAAATTTTCTTAGCCTTTTTTATGCTGTATTTTAAAATGGCATTTAGAACCATAATAACACTGGGTTTTTTACGTATAATATTGTGGATAATCTTTTGTAAACCTTTTTGTGTGTGTTGCGGTGGTCGATGGAAGTACATCCATGCTCTATTTGACATTGAAAATATATGTCGCCGAGCCTGGTAAGTCACTATATATACCAATTTGAACCATCTGCTCACCTTCCATACAGATTCCGCACGCCGTCGGGCACTTACATGCCATGAAATACTGAAACTGCAGCCTCAGATGTAAACCACGACCTGCCCACTTCTTACAGCCCCCCTTATACTTGTCCTGGCACTGGCTCCCAATGGACTCTTCAAAAGGACAAAACATATAGCTTTAAGAACTCATATTCACGTGTATGTATGTGTGTGTATGTATACGTATATGTAAATTCATATTATATGCATTTGAATCTTCAGTCAAAGATATAATGTTGTATGTAAACCAATCTAAATGACAGGTTGTTTAGTTATGGGTAAATATCATAATAGGACAAAATAAATATGTAATTAAATTGGAAAGCAACAGATAATTCAATCGAAGCATGTTTTAGACGCTTATTTCATAAGTTGTAGGCAACCCTGTGTTAGGCCGTGTCTAAACGGAATCACCCAAGGCGGTTTACATGTGGTTTACCCCGAAGCCGGTTTCAAGTGGCTCCATCTGAACGCTCCGAAATCACATTGAAAGCGCCGCGATCCCAAGCCACTTCTAGAGGTGGTTTCGAATCGGTTTCCCCGCATCGCGATTTGCGTCTGAACGCAATGTGATTTCAATGTTACTTCGCCTGGTCATGGATTACGGAGTGATATTTCTTTTTTTATATGCAATACCAACTTTTACGTGGCAGCAACTTAAAGAGCAGTAATGGTCAAATAATGTGTCCGTTCTAGGGCGAGCTTCACCGCCTCTGGCGGGACCACGTCGACATTCGGCCGAAATACGCTGGGAGGGGGGCATCAGCAAGCAGGTCGTTGACCTCTGACATTAATAACACGCCGCCTTGCGTGTTATCATCAAACAGCAATAAATGTAGCTCAAGCGCATTATGTTCGGACACGGTTTCGCAGGTGTGTGTGGCACGTGGACCAGATGTGAGGAATGTGAGTTACCCGAATCGCGGTTTGGGTGATTCCGTATAGACACGGCCTTAGTTAGAGACGCTTCTTACCTCCAACACAATGCCCGCAGCTGGCTGCACATTGTTCCTTCATCCACACATGGTACGTTTGGGATTCACACCTGCCCAACAATGCTAAGAAGTTGCAACGGCAGTCAGCGGCGATGTTACTACACCCAGCACTAGGGACTTCAGGCTGTACAGAGATGGCACAAGAAATGCATTTTTTTCTTTCAATATTGCATGTGTAAGCAAAGAATATTTCGAAGAATAATACTATCACTGTTTTTTTTTTTCTAGCAGGCAGAGACTAGCTCATACACACGACACTTAAAACAAAAATTCCAAGATCACTTATCTTTCCCTAACATTGTACGTTCCTTTACATGTAATCGTACGTTCCTTTCCATCTAATTGAAACCCAAGCCAATTTCGGCAAATAAAAACACACAGCTATGGATACAGAAATAGAAGGCCGGCATATGAAAGACATGCAGTGTTTGAACTAGCGTCAAAAATATGTTCAATGTTATACATTTTTTTTATAATTTTGTCGTTTGTAAACAAACCTTCTTCATAATTTCTTTAAAATCTTTGGATGAGTATTTCCATTTCTCGACATCCCAAGGAAGTGGGTCATTCACGATGTCACTTAGGGATTCTGCAAAAGGGAATGTTATGGTATAACTACATTTTTCATGTTAGGCCAAACCGTGTTAATTTTATGGATGGCATCCTCTGAAGACCCCAAATTAGTGCGCGTGGGCGAATAAAAAAAATTCCGGCCAGAAATAAAAATGCTACTAAACCACAGGAATACAAGGCTGGTATTTGATTTGATTTGATTTGATTTGGTATTGAGGATTTGGGGCAGTACTTAGCGACGTATACGACAAGCCGGCACATGCTGGCTTTTTGTGGAATTTATGAATCGGCACTGTATGTAATATGTACTGAGTTCTTGAGTCGTAGAGTTTCGGTAGCCTGGACTAGACAGGCCTAGAGCCAGACCAGAACCTCGGTGGACGTAATCTTTTTTTTTTTCGAGAACAGGCGAAAATCAATGCCCGCGTGGATGTCATCCATAAAATTAAGGCGGTGTGGCCTTATAGAATGTACACTAAGAATATATACTGCAAATTAATTAAAAACATACCGAAACATGCATAAAGAGAATTTAAAAGACACAGATATGTTAACAGTAGCATTAGTTAGACTCAAAAGTCTGTAGCCACAAATCAGTACAAAGCAGGTTTTATTATAACCAGGTAAGGATTCATATTTTTGCGGGAAGGTACTTTGTTTCGATCATGTTTGCCTATTTGCAGCTGTAACTCAGTGTGTCTTTTATGAATATCCGGTATACGGATGGTTGTTGTGGTGCAGGCGCTGTTTTTTCATTACATGCCCATGTATTAAATCAGAAAAAAAATCGACACACCTGTATAGCATGCAGTGTGATTTTTGATCTTTTAAGAACCGTCGTCAGCTGAATGCAACAATTCACCGGGGTTAGAATTTTTATGGTGAGCAGGTTTCAATAGAATTCCATTTTCGACACAGCCTGTTTTTTTTTTCTTACTTCAAGTTTAAAACTGCATACATGTGGTTCATTTAAAAACAAAAGATAACGATAAATAGTATCTGGAGTATGTATTAAAACAAAGTATATTGCAAATTTAGGACATGTCTGGTATCCCGATGTCTGCTGAAGCCTCTTAACCATGGTTAGCAGTAGGTCAAGGTCGTCTGCGTTTGATTAATGTTCTGGCAATTGAATCAAGCAACAGCAACAAAACTTACCTGAAACAGCAGATAGTGGCAGAGTCAGGGCGAGAAGGAGGATCCATCCTACTATCTTCATTTTACCGTTTTTCAGCTACAGCAGTGGTACTCGTACGAAAAATCCTCCGTTCAGAAGATCACATTGAGTGTTTTTTTCAGAAATCCGTGTTCGTCTAATGGATACCACACATATATACGTAAATGTTTATATATTTAAATTAGTGTTTATATATTTAAATCAGGTTCTTTTTATGGAGGTGAGGGGGTTATATTGACATGTACGTGCTCATGAATAACCATAATAGGTGTGCATGAAACGATGAGTGGGGGGAGGGGAAGATCTTAGTAGGGCTACGGCTGGGGGAAGGGGATAAAAAGTAGGGATAGAATATTTTCATTTTACGTTTAAACCTTCTGATTTTTCTTCATTTAAAGTTTAGGTTTGCTGAGGTTTGTAGGTAATTGACAGAGATTTGTCATACTGAAAGGGACTAGTTTCTGCCTATCAAGTTGAGAGCCTAGCAAATATCTATAAAATACATGCTGATATATATTTGTAACTGATAAAGAATCCTCATGATCTAAACGCATTAGATTGTTAAAACGATATAAAAAAGGCCCAAGGCGTCATGCATACACTTAGTAAGTCATGGTAGGCACCAACATGTATTCTTGACTAACTCTAACTACTGGTTATTCTAATAAAATTTCAAGTTACGTATGTAAACATAATTATCGGACTTGATAGATACATTCGTTAGAAAGAGTCTGAAAGTCGTAAATTACGTAAATTTAGTGAATTATATTTGGTGACAATTCTATGTTAGTGAGTTGACTTTTTGTGTAATAATGGCCAACATTAATTTTTGCATGATAATAACTTTATTTCTAGCATTTTTATTTTCTTTTTTTTTAAATATCTATACACTGTTCTATATAAGTTATGCAGGAGCAGTCAGTATGTAGTTTAGCTTTCTTTAATCGAATTTAGGTGTACTTGGTCAATGACATGTGTATAATGCACAACATGATAGTTGGGAAGTATTAGCAGTTCAAGTATATTACTTTTCTTCTTTAAACGAGTACTACTATCTAACCCTCCATTGCCTCTTTACTAAAAACTACAATGAAGTCGACTAGCCATCTATACAACTAGATACATGCATGCGGCTACTTTAACTTGTTTAATTAAATTGATAATCAAAGTATGGCCTTTAATGGCGAGTCGATTACTCAGTAGCTTTTTCATTCAGCTTTTTCATGTTTTATTTTTTTTCCACTCGTCTATTCAATTTAATTTTTGTATACACATTGTAAATTGTATTAATTGAAATTAAGTGAAATCATTTTATAATCCGTCAATGTTCAATCTTATTAATGCAGAAATACAGCATCTTTGGTTTTGAAAGCCATCTGAACCTAATTTCCATTAGTTATTCATTCAACTTCTATGATGAACAAATTTTAAGGTAGACGTTTCCTCTCCAACTTACCAGATGTAAAACGTAAGATTAGTAATTCGGTATCGTTTTGATGTATTAAGAATCATCAAACTGAATACATCTTATGGTTGGACGTTCCTTTCGATGTCATAGGCGTTCTCTGTATTGCCTGTTGGCTCATAAATGCAGGCCAAGTAGTTCTCTGTCCAAGCACAACCAACGCTCTTTGTATCCTTCCACACCATCTGTAGGGAACAGGTGACCAAAAGTATAAGTTATTTTAAAAATGTGGTTATAATTATTCTATGAACCACTCTAGATGCGGGGACCATATATTTAGCAAAATTTGTTAAAAATTGCAAATGCTTGTTATACCTCATATGAAAGTCAGTCGAATACTAGTATACAAGCTGTACAAAGTACATTGTCAGCATGTGTGGGTGTAGCAAACAGAATAGCTGGAAGTTAGAAGTTAATACATAGGAAAACAAGTAGCATTAAAGGTAAAAAAAAAACTTGAAATGACTTATGACTTGATACAATTTATGATTGTGTATCTCTCACCTGTGTAAAGTGACCGGCTTGCTCTAAGGACTCTACAGGACGGTTTGGATCGTAAAATTCAGTTTCGCTGTACCAGGACTCCACAGCTATCTCACAGTCTACGTGTGGAAACTCGTATTGTAGGTTGGATCCATGCCTTAACATAATAGTGTAGTTTAAATGTGAGTTATCTTAAATAATTGTAATCAGGTATTTGCAAAGTGCAGGGGTATGACAAAGTGTGAATAGAAAACTTACTAACTACGTGTTACTATGCTGACTAGGACAGCAGTAATGGTTCTAATAAATTACGGGAATCAGTCATTTTGTCAATCTTTTACATCCCTATTAAAAGTTTCCGCAATATCAACTGTCTTAACAAGATAGAAGGTGTTAAAATTGTGCATAGTCGTCGTCGAACATGTAGGCAGTAGTAAAAATTAGTATATATATAATGAGATATCTTTGTAGATTTTGCATAGTAAGATATCCCTGTGCTTTATATAGTAAGATATCTGTTATGTGTGCTTCATACATGCATGGCATGTACTTTGAGAAAATAAATGTACAATAAATATATTTCATCTGTTTTTAAAGATAAAAAAAGATGACTCACAAGACTTCTTTTCCCTCCACAAGCCATGTTCGCTCTTCAGGGCTTGTATGGTGCAATGGCTCATTGAGATCTTGCATCGTCTGTACAACTGTTTTCGCAAAATCTGCACACTCCTGTTGAGGAAGAAACAAAATGAAGGTACAAGAATATGAAAGATCAGAAGAAAACGTGCCTTCTTGTACTTAGGGCAGGTGTTCGGAAGAATGCAATGGGCAGGTGTGATACCTAGAAAGTCATACGGTGGGCAAACGAAGGGCAGCTGAATTGTTTTTGAAATGTCAGAATAAAAGTAACAACAATTAAATACACAGAAACCTCAGACGATGTGTAAATTTGAGCTTGCCTTTGAAATTTAAATCAATTACACCAACATGGTGGTCAGCACGTGCCTGATTCAATGGAATCATCAAACCGCTCTGAACCCAAAACGTTAGGATGTGACACCAAGATTACATCTAAAAACAGGCCCAGTTGAAGAGAACCCATTAAGTAACTAGAAAGGCCAATATTTGCTTTGGAGCAAATATAGCGATGGGTTCACCACATTTTACGACATGGCAGGGAAAGAATGAGAAACACAAGGGAAAACAATGATTTACATTGATATAACTATAATATGAAGTAACATACAACTAAAACAACAGTTGGATAGCTATTCCCTACTTTATTGGTTAGGATTTTTAATTGCATAATGCAAACTGTTGATTTTTCAAAAAAAAAAAAAAAAACGTTCATGCCCCGCATTCCAATGCTGGAGCAGAAAAGCTTGAAATACCTACCAAAACACTTGAATAAAGACATACTGTCAGTATGGAAATGCTCTGTGCAGGTGTTAATCAAGTTAAATCCCAACAGCCAATCAGCAAGAAATGCTCTGTGCAGGTGGAAATGCTCTGTGCAGGTGTTAATCAAGTTAAATCCCAACAGCCAATCAGCAAGAAGTATAGAGGAAAGCTGCATGCCTATTGGTTGATGCCCTGCATTCCATTGTGATGACTCATGCCCAAACGTGGTAAACAAGGCACACTAACACAGTAATACATTTGCTATAACACAGCCAAAAAACTCAAATAAAACCATTCTAAAAGCCTGTATCACAATAATTTAAAAAACGCCTAGGGGTATTTGCCCACTGTACCTCCATACCAAATTTCAGGACCTTGGGCCCTAAAATAAAGAAGCTGAATCCATTTAAAAAATGGCAGGAGAAGAAGGAGAAGGAGAAGAAACATCAGAAAAAGCAATATGGGTTCACCACCACTTCGTGGTGTGGTGAACCCATAATGAAAGGAAATGTCTCCCGTGCCCTTATGCAGAGCGTAGGGTGGTGCCCATATCCATTTCTGTAGCCCTTGGGCGACACACATTTGTACACTACAGCAGGGGGCTAGTCCGCTGGTAGTGCTGTGTGTTTGACCTTCCCACCTCTTTCTCATGTGTGCTGAGTGCTAAGCAGAGAAAGAAGTGTTGTACCATTTTTAAAGTCTTTGGTGTGATCCGGCCGGGGTTTAAACTCACGACCTCCCGGTTACAAAGCGATCACTCTACCAATTGAGCTATTGCACCGGTGGACTAAGTTTTAAGTTTTTTCATTAAGTAAACTGCAACAAAAATCAATTTCACATATGATATAAATTAATAATCTCATATGTATTTGACGAACGAACGAACCTGACACCAGACCAGTGGTGCTGCACCATGCTGACTCCTCTTCTCATTTTGAAGCCTCAGACATACCTCATCCTCATCATCGATAGCTTGTAAGGTCGGTGCTGGTGTTGCTAGTGCTATAAAAATGCAATTCAAAATCAAACATACGATTTGACACTTTATACTAACATTTTTGCCTAAATCTTTGGTTACTGCAACTGCACTTGAACTCCAAAATATTACTTAAAACTCTATTAGCTAGATATTTTAATTGATTACATTATATTTTGTTATAATGATAAGAAGTTTGAAAGCCTTTGCAAGAAATTGCAGTTTTCACAAAGCAAAGAATTGTAAGCTGTATATGATTAAAAATACTTCAAGAAAAAAATAACACGTTTGCTTGTGCCACTAGCCTTAAGTAACTGAGACATTAACTAGTAAGTGAATTAGATAAGGTTTACTTAAAAATTAATTTGTTGATTCACAGGTGAAGCTACCCTTAAACAGCCAACTAAGATAGATATGTAAATCTAATTTTTAGCCTGTGTCATGAAAATTTATAGACACCAATTATTAGACAACTCGTAAACAATAAAACAAATTATAATAATTTTCTTGTTTGGACTTATCGAGAGTCTCATGCACGTTAAAAGGCAATGTGGCAACGTATGGCTGTTTGAGACCCTCTTATGGTATTGATAACAAGTTATATATGTTTAAAGTTAAAACTTTTGGTCCAACACAAAAAATTCTCTCACCTAGAGCTTTCGACCAGTCACTCTGGTCTTCCTCAGTAGACTGACCCAGTGAAGCTTGCCACGTGGCTTCTTTGAAGTGTGACGTCAACACTGGGTCAGTCTACTGAGGAAGACCAGAGTGACTGGTCGAAAGCTCTAAACATGTAACTACCAACACAGATGAACTTTAATGACAGTATAACAAGTTATATAGCCTACCCGTAGTACAAATTCCAGAGGCCTTGGCGCACGAACAGGCCATAAAGTACTGGAACTGCGGCATCAGATGAAAACGGTGGTCGGTGAACTTCTTACAGGTCTCATCACCATACTTGTTCTGGCAGTCAGACTCTTCTAAAGGACCAAATAAACAGATTTAAATTTATACAATGTAAATATAGAGCAGGAAAATTGTTTAAACCCACATGAAGAAACCAGTCTGATAATTACATTTACTGACACATTTTTTGTCATCATTTCATAGTCGGGGCGTTTGAAAAGGTAAAAAAAAATCTCCTTTTTGCGTCTTTTTTTTGGGGGGGGGGGGGGTAAGTTTTATTCAGATCCACAATTAGTCTCACAAGAGGCTATTCTTCCTGTGGTCTACACATTCATATTTACATACATGTATTACAAAAGTACAAAGACATTACAAAATTAACAGTACATGGCGAACTTTACACAATTTTATTGTCGACCAAGAATAGCTTGATTAATTCTACGATACAAAACCGTTTTCATCAGAAATTTTATAACATATTATGTACATAACATTATATATTACATGCCTCTCAGATCAGTACGTAGCGTGATAAACTTTAAAAAAACTCACTACATTAAAAGAATGGCTAGAAAAAGGGCATTGAAAATGCTTTCTATACCATAAATTACAAGTAGGTTTTTGTGATTTATGCACATTGAATCCTCACCCACAGATTATGTTACACGGTAACTGACAGGTTGTTTATTTGTGGGTAAAAATTGGACCTAGAAAAATAAATATACCCTGTAGCTAAAAGATTGTGATCATAACAGCATGTGGTACATGAGTGGTAAGGGGACAACTACAATGCAAGTTTTAAATATTAGGAGAATCACCAAAAAGAAAATGATTCCATCTGCATTTGGAGTAATTGAAATGATGATTAATTGAAATACTTACTAATGTATAAATGATTTTGTATATTAATCTTTGTGACAAATTGTTTATTTGTGGGTATACTGTGTACCAGGACCTAAGAAAATAAACAAACCATAATGGAATGCGACCTTGTGGATAACAGCTAGTACTGAGAATAGTCAGGGCTCTACATACAGTACAGGTATAATGAAATTGTTTTTCAAACTACCAAAATTTAAAAAAAAAAGGTCAGTGTTTAAAGTACTAGAGAATCTTGATTATATTCAGGTATCATTATACTAGTGGACAAAGGCAGATTATCCTGTTTTGTATGTAAATAACATTATTTCATTTCTTTATTTTTTCTCTAGACTTCTCTATTTGAATGTATTCTTATCTAATATTAGATTTAAAAAGGGTAAATTTCATCCGTTTTCTTTATTAATGTTTCCAGGTGAAAATATATGTTTATGTAACGGTTAGCTTTACTTGCAGTAACTCCACAAATTAGAGACTATAGCATTAGCTCATTTTAATACTTATAAAGAATTACAGTAGTATTTTTGTACAAGACAGAAAAGTCTGTTTTTAAACATATTATGTTTTTCGTATTGTTGTCCCCAAAAAATAAACTTATAGCATACGCACAGTTCCCGATCTAATAATGTGCCTTTATCTACATCACTTACACAGTGTGGCATAGTTTTAAAAATACTAAATTATAGACCTGTAGTTGGCGAAATTTACTTGGTGATAATTTGTTTTGGGTCTTGGTTTAATTTAAGATCTTTTATAAATATGTACTTTATTTATAATTTGTAAACAAAACAACGCAAGGAATTTATAAAATTATATTTACCTGCAACGCAAATTCCGCAGCTGGCAGCACACTGTTTCTTCATCCACACGTGGTAGTTTTGTGATTCACACAAACCCAACATCTTCCAGAAGTTACAATGGCAGTCATAGGCGATGTTTCTACACACAGCACTCCGCACTGCAACCTGCAATGAGATAGCACAGTAAATGAGTTTTTTGTGACGTCTCAGGGAGGAGCCTAATAGTACAGTATCGAGTGCAGTTTGCAAGTATTCTAGCACGGTACAAGCATTTTGTCCACAGGCATGGAATGTCCACAGGCATGTCTCTGACCCAAATCTACAAAATGTATGGCCACATTCCTCAAAACCCTTGGAAAGACCAGTCTGCCCCTACTGTCTGTGACCCTGGGCTCGTTAACTATTGGCTCAGGGGAGGAGTGCACTGTATCCGTCTAGATTTTCTGGTCTAACAGGTACCAAGTCTTCCTCGAAATCATGAGGTGGTGGCAGTGCCATGCAATTAATAACCCTAACAGCAACCACCTTCGCCATGGCAATGTATGTTTTCATTGCCAGTCTTGTTTCCCTTTTTTCGGAGATACAGTTTTGAAGCCAAGGGAGTTTGCCGAGGAATTTTTTCACCGCCGAATTTTCTCCCGACAAACTCATTCGGTGGCAAAACCGTCGCTCCGCGGCATAATCGGCGTCATTTCATGGAATAATTGACAATGCTGCCCCACAAGTCTGTGAGTGGGGGTATTTATAATAAAAATTAATAATATTTTTAAAAAAAATTGGCAAAAACATTACACTTCGTTGTATGATTTTTTAATGAATAAACGATAAACTTTATTACAAAAACACTCTTTCCCAAGCAGCCCGAGCAAAATTAAGTGTCTAATTGTCTAAATGATTGCAGGCTTTTAAAAGTGAATTATAAATGATATATTTGATCTTACAGCCCCTCATTATGTTTTACATGTTAGAATAAAGCTTTGAACAATAGTAAAAAACTTGCACATTAGGTTAAACCATTTCTTGTTAATTTTACCAACCACCTTGTGAGAGTCTTGCCATTTCTCGAGATCCTGCGAAAGTGGAGGCACTTCCTTCATGATTTTCACATCACTCAGAGATTCTGTAAATAAAATCGTTGATGGCATGATAGTTTGTGCTATTTATTTATTTAAACTGCAAATGTGTAGAATACATTTTAAAATAAACAGAGAGTACATAATTAACGGAGAGACATAATTACAGAGAGACATAATATACAGGGACAACAAAGGGACATAACAACCATATCGTATCAAACGATATTGACTTCATCCATATTTGATTAATCCGTAATTGTCCCCAACCATCATTGCCGTACGTAACATTTCCCATTATTGTATGCGATTCTTCCACCTGTGGTCTTTACAATCTTTGCAAAGGAATAAGACATGTTAAATACTGTTTTCCCCTACATCTCAATCGTATCCGTCACACGATCGCGAATTGGATATCGATATTTGTACATATGCCGTACAGAATCTTGGGACTGAAAATAAAACCTTATTTTCTTTTATGACTGAAAAGATTAGCTTAGATCACGATCGACCATTGGTTATGTTACTGCCATGTCACACATATGACCACCCAGAAGTAGGTTGGATAAGGTCGAGGACATTCTTGGATGTGGTTGGCTGTGCTTGCGTCGTGTCAAATTTGTCTCAAATTCGATTTGATTCGTTTAGATACTTTAGATTGGGCAAAATCTGATTAGACTGCCCCCAAACTTCGGCCAACCTTAGTTGGTAGGCGGACGAGGGGAACGTTCTGAATGTGTGACGGGCTTTTCCGTTGATACTATACGCCGATATTGATTTGTTGCAGTATTGCATCAGAAACGGACGGACGGCTAGATCTTACAAAATTAGCTCTGACCGGTACAAACGAGTTCAATCCGGCCAACATCCTTCTCGGAACGGGCCTAAAACAAGGCCGGTTTGGTCACCGCAAACAATTAATAGCAACTTCCACTGCTGTAATTTATAAGAATTGCCTGCTCTATCGTGTTTATAATCCATAGTACACAATGTACACAATTTACTGACTAAAAATTTATCACCTTTGCCAAGGCGATCATGTTTTTAGTTTTGTGTGGTTCTCTGTCTGTAAATAGCATAATTAAAGAAGTCATGGATATATTAATATTGAAATTATGAGGCAAACTAAAGATTATAAGACATTGGGCCCCCGAGTCCTTTATCATTGCACTGCAACGAATCGTTATGTCTCGATATTTAGTGTAGTGGACATTGAGTGGTCAAGATTGCAGGTGGTGAACAGTTAATGTATGCCCTTTTACCATTTTTTTCTCAAACTGGAACAGGAGCACACGAATGTTTGAAAGTGATGTCCTCGTGATTTTGGTATGTTTTGGTATCACTTCATAAAAACATTTTGCAAGTTGGGATCTAATATGAATACCTATTGGTTTTATTAACTATTGGTTTTCGATGGTTAGTTCTCAAGGAAATCTAGTTAGTTTTTGTTTTAATGGTGGACCTTGATTAGAGAGAATTACAACCCCTTATAACTCCATGATTAGAGCTACGATTCTTATATTCAGTCACAAAATAACTACTCTTATGGTTTTTCTAAACGTACAGATGCATAGAACTTAACACCACATTGGAACCTCCCGCCAAGACTTACCCCACACTCCGGTCTTAGAATTGGATTGCAGTAATGTAAGAAGAAGATCAAATGAACAGTATACAATGTAGTATACAATGCGATCATTATCATCATCATCGGTCGACCGTCCTTTACAGGGTGATATATATGTACTAGTACCATTAAAAAAAACTTTAACAAGTCGGAGTGCTCCAGAAATCCGCCCAGATAATGACGTAAATTACCATGTAGCTGATACAAGACACGATTTTCCAGACCTCTGTCTTGGTGATTTGAAGTGAACCAAGGGAGTCAGACAGTAATATTTGGACCATCTGGGCAGCCCGCCACTCTTTTTTCAAGTAGGCTCCATGTTTATTTTCTTTACGTGGGTAGAGTGCTGCTCCCTCAAGAATAAGGAGTATCTATTTAACAGGACGTCCCGTATAACAAAGCTAAATACTCGTTTTTATATGACAGAAGTAGGAAAGGTTGTGTACATACAGTGCCTTTCCCAAGGGAACAGCTTCGGGGCCTGCTCTAGGGGATTGGAACACAAGATTTATTGTTTTGTTTTGGTTTTTATATCCCAACATTTCGACATGGTGACGGCACACTCAAGTTATATCAACTCATTTAAAGCCGCCACCAACGCAGATGGCGAATACAGGACAGGGCAATACTCATTTTCACTTGAGTTAAGTGAGGAAAGTCGTGTAAAGTGTCTTTTCCAAGGGCACAAGATCGGTGGCATGTCAGGACTCACCCGGACCTCTTAGTTCCGGGTCGAGCAGGCTGCCGCTACGCCACACGATACATTCGTTCTGCGCCACTCACCTAACCATTGCGCAACAAGACGCCATGTGAATTATACACAACAATACGTAATTTTTGATGCGCCACTATTTCTGAATATACTTATTCGGTCGCAAAATTTACACGTCGCCATCTTTTTTGTAATTTTCTCCTGAAAAAAAATTCAAAACAAAGAACCGCACGCAAGTCGGTACTTCAATATACGCTGTTACCTAACGATAAATATTACACAGAACACGAAACATGCATGGTGCAACCTTACTTTTTATTTCTATATATTGCAATATCTAATCACAAGACGGGGTGACGGCAAACTCAAGGAAAGTGAGGAAAGTCGTGTTAAGTGCCTTTCCAAAGGGCACAAGATCGGTGGCATGTCAGGACTCAAACCCGGGACCTCTTGATTCCGTGTCGAGAACTCTGCCGCTACGCCACGCGACCCCACCAAAGGTTTTTAGGGTGCGAGAATTTGTTTTCTTACATGGAAAATCTGCTCAAGAAGGCCACTAGTCATATACTGTTTAACAAATTTTCCATCTTAGCAATACATATTCATATTTAGATAAAAATTACCCCTCAGTAATAAAAAAACTTACCAATAATATACGACAAAGATTATATCTTTTTTAATAAACACATCCCAGGCAGTGCATGTTACGATATTGGTATTTGCTTAGCAATAGAAAAAAGCGTAATATAGAAGAAAAAAAACTTACTTGAATCAGCGAGTGGAGGAAGTGCCAGGGCGAGTAGGATGACACAAACAAAGATCTTCATTTCGCCTTCTTCGGCTACTGCAGTTGCCCTTGAATGTTCAACGAAGTCAACCGTTTCTTCACAAAATCAGACAGGGGAGATTTTAAGAGGGTGGTGCGCGTCTGACCTGTATCACACCGTCTTATGTGTACGTGGCAGGCTCTTGTTGTTATGACCAGTCCAAATGAAAGGCTATTCGATCGGGTCAGAATGTACCCTATTGGTCACACCAAGGATATCATGATATGAAAAATATAACATGTTTTCCAGGGATCGAACAAATGGCTTGGCGGATCTACATGGTACTGTTTGTTTACGTCAAAACATGCCCTTACTAAAGATAGAGTTTCAATATACTGTGCGGCCACTTGGACCAAGAAACTTCATAATTATATAAGCCATCAAAATATTACAATAGCAATGGCAATATATCAGAAACCTAGACATTACAAGTATGATAGTTGGGATGCCTATGCTCACGCACAAGTTTATGTATATGTCTGTGTGTTTTACAGAGTTGAATAATACATGTAGTTTGCACCTCAAGATGAGTCATATCTGTTGTTGTAAAACAAGAGGTCGATGCACTCCTTCTGAAAGGTCGTATATATTTCAGTTCAATCACCTTCTGTTGTTTATCCCATGAGAATATTGTCCCATATTTTTTTCTATAGCTGGTACTCAAATTAAATCTTTGGATAACAAAAAAAAAATACATTTTCTATCTATATTGTGTATTAATGTAATTTATGGTGGTCTACCAAAGTTATATACGTATATTTTTGGCCGATACGTAATATAAAAACTGATGCTGTAGTGCCCCCCTCCCACACTCACTCACAAGATACTGACTACGAAATTCTTCGACACCTGTAATATTACGATATAATATTAATATATTTCATGATAATCCTTATACATACTGCCTACAAACATGAAAGCTTGCAGACAAACAGGCAAGCAACAAGCAAATAAACATAAAACTGTCTTTAAAATATGCATCAAATGCATTAAAAACACGTGTGCTGTTATTCAACTTCTTATAAAACACTGATGTCCAGTAATATGCAGTGATGTTTTCTAATCCGTTTCTGACGTCCATAAGTTTGATGTGCACAAAACATTGTTAATACCGTGTGAGGTCCGGATAATCAAGGACTACACTGCCTGTCAACCGGACCGACTCACACAGATCGATACTTGGCAAAGTGCTAACAGAACACAAGAATGTTAGTCATTACATACATGTATGTATATATCTCAGGAGTACCAGACTATACAGTGCAATTTTACGGAATGTATGCAATTTTACGGAATGCAATGTAATTTTACGGAATACAGTGCCATTTTATTAGTATACAGTGCAATTTTACGGAATGTAGTGTAATTTTACAAAATCCAGTACAATGGTATTAGTATACCATGGAATTTTACGGAATACAGTGCAATCGCATTAGTGTATATTGCAATTTTACTAGTATACAGTGCAATTTTACTCGTATACAGAGCAATTTTACTCGTAAATTTTACTGTATACTAAGACGATTGCACTTTATTTCGTAAAATTGCACTGTATACTTATTCGATTGCTCTGTATTCCGTAAAATTGCACTGTATACTAATACCATTGCATTGTATTCCTGAAAACTGCAAGCATTCCGTAAAATTGCACTGTATACTCTGTCACCCTGTATCTGGGTCTCGCTCAGCAATTTAGGGCTGCAAAACTGGATTTTTGACATCAATTTTTTATCATTTTTTATCATTCTCATAATATGGTAATTCCAACACCACAACATACTTACATTTGTGAGAAAAAATGCGATGTCTCTATGCACTGGTGGTAACGATTGTTTGTTTTGAATTGATGGCCGTTTCTAGCTATTCTTGGAAGGTACACCAAAACCGCTTTACGTAGTTTGTCTTTGGGGCTATTTGAAAAACGTTTACCGTATGAAATTATGACAAAAAATGTACTACGAAATTGCATTAAATGTCTATAGACCTTTTTTTCTCATCCCGAATGTTATTTATTTTGTATTGTTTTGCTGCTCCGAAATTTCACTGGATGCCACTACATGCAACGAGTACTATTAATAATAATATGTTGATTCCGACAGTGAACTGCAATTCCATATTTAGAATCTACAAGGACGATTAGCCGTATGGCCGCTAGGAGCGCAATTTCACAAGACAGGATGGTACCCAAACAGATAAATATGTACTATACACTGTAGCTTAGCCCGGTATCCAGTACTAGTCTTACGTGATCAAGCAGGCGGTGTCTTCGGGGGCTTTAAGAGCTTCCCCCGCCAAGGGCAAAAGGCCGTCCCGGTAGGAGAGTTACGCTAATAAGAGACAGTATGCTTGGGGATTTGCCCCCCTCCCACTCCCAAACACGTGGAGAGCTAATCAATCTCTCGTGAAATACACACCGGGAAACCTATGTGAGGCCGGCGGGAAAGAGCTCTTGCGGTCCCGACCACGATCAGACTGGATACCAGGCTAACTGTAGCTATGATTTAGTGTCTGTCAAGTTAGGGACGCCAACAACAAATCTGAGCAATTTTTAAACTAACGTACGGGCGTATAACATTATACACAAAGAGAAAAACATAGGCATTATCTAAATCAATACAGCAATTTTTGAAACACGTAGTAATCAACCATCATCAGGAATTTCTTTTCAGCGACATTTTTTTCTGTTGACGTCACCAACTAATTTCTGGAACCGACCACTACATTTTAGGGGTTTTGGTCAATCTTCAATATAGACTAAAGCTTCGTTTACGTCGAGTAAATTTTAGCTCCCCGCCCTCTAATTTCTAACTATTGTCTTCGAAGGAAATGATTTAATTTGACAACTACAAGCTGGAAGTGTATATATAGGCAATTGCAAAAAAAAAAAAAAACTTTTAGAAAGTACTAGGTAGACATTGGGTGCCCAGTTGTAAGTGCGGATGTCCGATGTTCATAGCTAATTTTGGTCGAAGGCCAAATATATAAGCTTCTGGTCATTTCACGTCAAACGATGGTATATGTTTGCCTTGAACCATTAAATAGATTTTAGTAACCTAATGGCATTTTTCCGTAACTCTTCGATAAAAAGAGGAGTTGACAATCATTTGGTCCTAGTATCTGATTGGACACTTAAAATTCTCATTCATGTAAATAAACAAAGGTTATTACCTCTAAAAGTTTACATGTAACGCGCTGGTAAAAGGACAGAACTTTAAAAAAGAGCTCACGAAAAAGCGTTTATATAGATATATCTATTTTATTGCGACATGATCTGAGATATGTAATTTTCCTCGACACAAGGAATGCTCACACAAAATACATATATTTCAGTATAGTATGTAGCTTCTACTTTGAGCACTACATATATGATAGATCATCTTCATTATACTCTCTGGTAAAATATGTCCATCATAGTATTTTTTCTTTCGTTTTAATACTTTTTACACGATTGCTCATGTAGATTCTTTTGAAACATTTTAGGCTGTTAAAACAATCACAGCTACACGCTGCGTTTCTCCCAAATGCAACAGACAACTGCTGGGAAATAACAAAACCACAAATACCTTATACATTTATATTAACCCTCAAACCACCTCACTCTTGAGTTTTTTTGCTGCAATTTGAATCAATGTGTTGATTCGGAAAGCTAAAAAATGTGACCCTAGCCTATGGGCCTGGGGTCAAAAGTTATCGACATGGCCGCCTAAAAACATCAAGTTTCGGGTGCATAAACAATGAGCAGAAATTTCTTACACCTAATTATGAAACTTTAATAAAACTGAACATACTTAAAAATCACAAAATAGAGTAAGAAAAAAAAGCTAAATCCAGGCAACACATAATGGGGTCAGTTTTGACCCCATACGGTAAGATTCGTCGCAAAAAAAACCTACGATGGTTTGAGGGTTAAATGTTTTAAAAATTCCTTACGAAACAACACACAATCAATCAGTCAATTGTAACAAAAATTACTTAACAAAATAACCACACCTGATGAAACAGACGTGATAATCACACTGATTCTCTAGCTCAATTTACATTGAAAACGTCACTGTAGATCTACCAACAAACTGCCATATTTCTAAATAATTGACTATGTTCAAATACAATATCCATAAATAATACAACAGTTTCTGTTTAGTGAAAATACGACCTATCTTACTTTCTTTGACATATAGATTGATATTTTAGCAGCAACAGACCTAACAGCACCAGTACTAGTCTCCTACTTACAAACAGTAAATATCCATAGTCATAGAAATACAACATCACTAAGTCTTTACAAACGACAGAAAATACATAACATGTTTAATGAAAACGTCTTTGTTTAGCATTAAGTAAGAAGGGTACATTATGGAAATCAATGTGTAATGAATATTTTTTTTTATTTACTGATGATTAAGAAACGATTGAGAATGAATGAAATGATAAAAGAAAACATAATTATAATGCCATGTTCATTTTATGTTACCACTGCAGGGATACATTTTTTTAGCAGCCACAGACCTAGCAGCACCAATACTAGTCTCACAATTGCAAACTGTCAATACCCATAGTCATAGAAATAAACCATCACTAAGTCTGTAATAAACGACAGAAAATACATTACATTGTTTGATGAAAACGTCTTTGTTTAGTATTAAGTAAGAAGGGTACAGTGTTACAATCAACGTGTAACAAATATATTTTGTTTAATTTACTGATGCATAATATATGATTGAGAATGAATAAAATTATGAAAGAAAACATAATTATAATGCCATGTTCATTTTCTGTTACTACTGCAGGGATATAGATTGATATTTTAGCAGCCACAGACATAGCAGCACGAGTACTAGTGTCACAATTACAAACTGTAAATACCCATATCCATAAAAATACATGATCACTACGTCTATTACAAACGACAGAAAAATAAATAACATTGTCCAAATCTTATTTGTTTAGTATTAAGTAAAAAGAATACATTGTGGCAATCAACGTGCAACATTTTTTTTTGTTTCACTGAGGCATAAGAAACGATAGAGAATGAATGGAATTGTAAAAAAAAATGAAAATGCCCCGTTTATTTTCTTTTACTACAGCAGGGGCGCTAGCCCACTGTGTTAGACATTCCAATACTCTTTCTCCTAGATGCTGGGTGCTAAGCAAAGTAAGAAATATGTGCCATTTTATACATACAAATATATAATGTTAAAAATGTAAACAAATGGCAGTCAATGTTCGTTTTCTTGTGTTGCTCCAAGTCAATGGAATGTCGTTTTGATCTGTTTTAAATCATATTTTGTGAAAAGATACCCAATTTATCAAGCCGGTCACTAAGATGTTCAATCTTATTGAAAGAAGGTCAATAGCGTGTTGGCAAGTCAGAAAGCTACATTGATGTTTCCTTCTCCAAGAGAGTAGGTAAAACTTCCATATTTTCATCCAGTTCGACAATACCTATGTTGTTTTGTGGTGATGGAGAGTCATCTTCATGCTCCCCGTCAGGGTTGCGTGGTTTCTTCAGACAGAGCAGGATGAGAGATGAGACTATGATGGAGCCGGCAGAGAAGAAAGAGATGTTGTAGTTTCCCGTAGCATCATAAAGCCAGCCTGTAGCAAGAAAAGGTAACTCAAAAGTACAGCTTGGATGTTAAAGACCAAATGACGCCAAAAATTCTCTGCAATATCCATACAAATATCGGATGTGCACATACAATATAGTCCCTTAAAGTTTGTTTCAATCATGATGACTGAGAAATTGGGCTTGTACGGCCTTCTAGAAGTGAATGTTTGGAGACTCTCTAGCAAGCTTTCCAATTGCCCAATTCGGGCATCTCTATTTGCATCTCTTTTTTTTTCTTTTTGTTTCTGTGCCTTTTACTGAGTTGACATTACTGGGTGACATCAGTCTAGGAATAATACAGAAATGCAAAACTAATGTATAGAGATGCAAATCGCCTGCCAAAACTGGCTTGTGCAGACGTTTCCAAAGCAGGACATTGAAACGTTTAATGTAACAGGAGAACCGTGCATATTTATTGAAAATGTGTCTGTTAACTTAGGTAATACTAGTTATGTCAACTACGATGAGAGAAGGTCATATTTTGGTGTTATGAGGCCGACACATTGTATTTTACTAACCAATGCGGGGGCCGCTACAAACTACCGACTGCCTCCCACTCAGCAATCCCATATTCTTTCCATGAGGTTTTAAAATGTTAAAGTTTTGAATGCTAACGAATGAAAACGATATATAGTAATTACAAAAAAAGGAAGAGACCAAACATCATTTTGCAATCTTACAATAAATGTTAGGACACAAATAAATCAGAATGATTTTCTGTGAAACTCTATAAACAAATTATGATCATAGTTTTTGGGACTTAAAGGTCCAAACAGGCTAAAATGGGGCCAAGAGATTTTAAGCTATATCATAAAATCAACCTGACCTTACTATATGTACAGAGATACCTTACCTGCAATTGGTGCTCCTAGTAGGTAGGCTGTTCCACCCGCCAACAAGGTCCAACCGATACCGTTGAACAGCCTGGCGACGCCGGTGTACTCTCGGACCAGCACCGCTATCAGGGAGTGGAACACCCCGGAGAACACCCCGTAGAACGCCATGTACACAATAAGCGCAGCATAAGACTTACAGAAGGGCACAAACAGGTTACACAACCCCACCCCTGCAGCTCCAAGCATGTAGACATTCAGTCTACTCATGACACCAAGATCTGCAAACCAGCCTGCAATCAATCGGAAGATAAACTCGCTGATTCCCATCACTGAGATTAAAAACGATGCTTCCGTTTTACCAACCCCGATGTTTTGAGCATGTTTAGCCATGTGGACAAAAACAATAGAGTAGCCAAGCATCGTGCCAAAATGAGAGACTAGGAACAACACAAATGCGACATCCGTCAGAAGCGACACGTCGAAAATCTCCAGAACCTTACGAGTAGAGGAGACACACTTGTTGCAATGTGATGTGGAGTTGTTTGGGGTCTTTCGGTGGTTTTTGGACATCAAAGCTTGCTGTTCCAGGTCTTCCCTGAGGCGTATTGGCCGGAGTAAGGCCCCACATACACACCCGTGAAGGGTAATAGCAGCGATCACTAACAGGGCACCGTGATAACTATACTCATCGATCAGAACCTGATACAAAGGGGACAAAGCAAACATCCCAACTCCGTTTCCTGACAAGCCTATCCCGTTCGCTGTTGCCCTCTTCTTGTCAAAGTAACGTCCCACCATGGTTAGGCATGGCGAGTACATCAAGGACATGGCAAACCCTGGAATAAAATATTCAACAAATATCGGTAACCTTACTATTACTATTGTAAAATCAACCTGTTTTGTTTAAACATAATGTAAAAATTATAATGCATGCGCAATTGGAAGCTAACATCTCAATTGCCTAAAAGCCACCTTTAATACGTATTAATTGCTCATGCTAAATTAGGATGGCTCAGCAAGCAAGCAAATACTCTGGATATCAAATTGAGCCATACATATGGTATCAACTGGTATCTTTTAAAAGGTATGTGTTTTTATTATAAAATGTGCATTAATCTGTACAATTCAGCACATTTAATTTTTTTTATCAATGATACTAAATTCCCCAGCCCAATTCGCCATTACCAGACCATTTACATTGTGTATTAATGATTCTTAAATGATAATTTTTATTCTAAATATTATCCAAAAAAGGCAATTAAATAGCAGTATTTTATGTCCATAGGAATTTTACGAATGTTTGGCAAAATCAAGTGTTAAGAAAGGTCTGTGATTATGGCAATCTTGTTCAATCATTATATAGATTGTTTCCTTTGCTGTTGCAAATGTTCCAACATAATCGTAGTAGACCATTGACTACAAAGGATGAAGCTGTTTCACACGAAGAAAAATGCCCTGATGGTAGAAAGGCCAACTAATTCACGCCATTTTTCCGCTTAAAAAGTCACTTGATCTTGAAGGTTAAACAAATCACGTGCCTATATGAAGTTTGTGATTGGTTCTTTACCTGTAAGAATCCCCAGGCTGAAGAGAAGATACGTCACACTTGAGGCGAAAGAACTGATGATCAGTCCCACAGCGGCCAGGACACCTCCAGTACTGACCATCACACGGCAACTGGTCAGCTTACTCAGGGCACAGGCAATCGGAGCTGTAACAAAACAAGCCAATACGTTTGGTCTTGGTTTACGTGAGAGACAGTTTCTCATTGTTTTCGGTCATTTTAAAGAAAATGTACTAAGTGTTCTAGATTTCTACGATCGCAATACACACCAAACTATGTTATTCTTTACGACTAATAATCATTATTGCTTTTTAATGATTTTGCTGGTAAGAGACTTATAATATAAATACGAGTTATCATATTCCACAATTAATAACAGCCTTATCCTCACAAAGAATAGATATTTTAGCCTAACGCATTAGCTATGCGAATGTGTGTTTTTAAAGGAAATTATGCTTTAATGTTAACCTTTTCTTAACATTTAAGGTACAAGTATGGAAATTACAGCTGTCACCACTATGAAATGATACTTTCAATAATTATACAAATAATTCTATGTTCACTTGATCAAAAGAGTTTTGTTTTGATAACATATGCAACAAGTTTGTAAGCTTCTATTATAGAGCGTAGCAGATTGATGAAAATTTTGAATTTCTGGATGATTAATACTTACAACATATCAGTGTCATGCCCACCAACGTTGATTGGATGAACGCTGTGTCCCCAGCACCTTCGTTGAACGCTTCTCTGAACACAGGGTAGAACACACCGAAGGATTTGATGGACGCGATCACAACGATGTGCATCAGGAAACTGCTGAACACCACCAGCCAGCCCCAACCGCCATCTGGCGGGTGTTCAAGGTACTGCAAGTGTTCTTTTCTCCTGGCTCTTCTTGACGGTCCATCGGTGATAGCGGCGTGTTCGGGCGTGCAGGGGGCGCAGATGGCGTCCACATCTGCAGCAGCCGTGCTGGATTGTCGTTTTAGGACTTTCCTCTTCCCACTCATTTTGTTTTTTATTTAATTAATTGTCAGACTTCTGGAGGTAAATAAAAAAGGAAACAATGTTTAGACATTATACCATATGTAAGTAATTTATTAATTTATTAAATTTATTACAGAAGAATCATGTAAAATGCCTAATTCTCGGTGACAAAATAAAAAAAATACTGCACAAGCAACGACCCTATGCCCTTACTATTTATTCTCTTAAATCAAATGCAAATTTTAAAACTGCAAGAATAGATCCTACGTTTGTGTGTGATGCAATTGTTCTACTAAATTATGAACCCAAAAAAGTACTTTTTTTCAAATGTGCAACAAAATTGTTTTAAAGGGCAAACTGATACATATAACACACCGTTTCTTCAAAAATGTAAAAAGTTACAGTTAATAACTTTACTTGTAAACACGTGTTTCAATAAATTTTAATAGTTATATGTTGCTTTATGATTTTTTGTGGTTAGGCCACTCAATTTTATTTGTTGTTTTTCGGATTTTTTTTCAGAAAAAATCAAGAGCGACAAGGCAAAAAAAAAGTGAAGTGAAGTGAGTATACCAGGCTGGTGGTTTCTATTTTATATATAATCAAGACAATAGATTTTTAACTTTTAATGCAACAAAATTGCATTGTTACATTGTAAAACTTGCGAAATTGGAAGTAAAAGGCCTTTTTTAACCGTTGGGGCCAAAATACGTCTTTCGTCGAGCATTTTGCAGTTAATTTAGAACCTTTTTTTTTTTTGCGAATGAGAAAAAAATGGACAGGGCTATCCGAGAAGCAACAGATTAAATTGGTGTGGCCTTAAACTAAGACAAATCCAGTGTCTACTGAGACGGAACGATGGTAATAATAAAAAAATAGGCAATGATTCTTTAGACATTACGAAATAAATCATACAGCAACTTGATAATATCTCTGAGCGGACAGTCAGATATTTCAGATACCATATTTAATCACTTACAGAAAAGAAGGCTCAACCGCTATCTTTTATGACTAACTCAGCATGTCTGACCCTTATGTCTTAGTCATTGATGAAATAAAGCAGATGTTATATAAAACACCCAAGTCACGGGAGAATTTGATTAAGAACTTCCGGGATTAGAGTACTATTTTGGGTACAACTTGTTTAGGCTATATGAATCTATTTTATGTCCGTTATCAACCCCATTTAAGTATATCCAACTGACATGAGCCACCAGTTACGTGTAAGCTTCTTCACAGTGGAATACATATGTATAGTGCATTAGGCCAGAGCAAGTTAAGTTTATGGATGGCACCCTCCACAGATTCTAAATCTAATGCAAGTGGGCGAAGAAAAAACAAGGCAGGCTCCTCTCTTCATATTTATCTGCCACCCACGTTCCGGCATAGCAACATCTTTTTCGGCATGCTGACCAGTATCAGAGAGCAACAAATTTTCTTTTTTTTTTATTTCCAAAATCGGGCGAAAATCAATGCGCGCGCTGATATTATCCATAGAAATTACTTGATTTCGCCTTAGTAGAAAGTTGCCGGTTGCTACGTGTTTGGTCAGAAATGTACATATAGTTCCAAATTTTGAGTGGTTTTGCCGCAAGGTAGCAGCGTAAACGTGCCTCTTGCAAAGATGGATTCTAGGTTGTATGGGGTGACTGTTGCCAAAAAAGGACGAAATGATCTTAGTGATATATTTTTCAGAAACACTGTAGGGATAGCAAGATAGTTACTTGGATATCTATTATCCCCCATGGACTTACAGTTGGTTCTTTCCTTGGTGCTGAAAATGCAGTCACGGTGGTCGAAATAGAATAAATGATTTTAAAATATATGCATTTCCTGTACGTCAATTTACTTCGGAAAAGGTCTTCTGTACATTTGTATGAGGTCTTGTTAACACATTTAGTAGTAGTTGCTCCAATCCGCATACCACAGCAACTATATAAATCACACACGAGCTTATTGGATTGGTGCAATCATATGTACAGACATGTGTTTACGGCACACTCTAAAACCTGGCATCACAAGTAAAAACCTGCCTAAAGGCAAGCATAAAGACCAGGTCACATTTGTCTTATGGTATTTGTTGGGTTGCAAGCTAAGATCATTGTTAAAATAGCCATCTCTATTGTTACAAAAAAACATCAAAATGTTATGACTAAGAATCTAAATGCACTCCAAGTCATTCGCGTAAAAGTATTATTTTACCTCACTATATAATGACATTATCATCGCATTTTTATGTTGTTATTACTGCAAGTAACTACCCTTACACTTCTTTTGCTTGAAAAATATACGGGGTTTATTGTCTAAAGAAATCCCAATTTAGCTCAGCGAAATAGAATAAGTCGTTAATTATGTGGAAGCCTATTCGAAGATGAATGCATATTGCACTAGTAGGTAATTTTCGATTGCCGCTTGCTACGCCAGAAGGTATATAGCTCTGCGTTTTAAGTGGTACTGCCGCAAGCGAAGTGTAATAAGCAGCGCGAAATTACCTATTAGAAGAGACAAGCTTGTCTTATGTGTGGAATCATAATGGCATGAACGGAGAAAGTGCGTAACAGTGTGATACTTGTTTAAATTGATGTACAATTAAGGTGGTTAGAATAGAATGATTGTGGTATGTTTACATTTTATATAGGTTTGTTTCACCCTTAAAAAGACATACTGACCCTAAGAAAAATGTATATTTTCTACCTTTATGTGGGATGCTACAACTTAATACTTAACACCCTTTCCATCTCACTCACTCACCCATTCACTCACCCACCCACTCACTCACTCACTCACTCACTCACTCACTCACACACACACACACAAACGCACTCATACACACTCACTAACTCACTCACACACTCACTCACTCACTAACTCACTCACACACACACACTCACTCATACACACTCACTAACTAACTCACACACACACACACACACACACACACACACACTCACTCACTCACTAACTCACTCATACACACTCACTAACTCACTCACACACACACTCACACACAGTCACACACTCACTCACACACACACACACACACACACACACACACACACACACACACACACACTCGAAAATTCTGTCCCTACCCCGGAAAAGGCTGCATGGATCTGTATTTATGGCTGCCATTGATCTCGATTTGTCCAACCAAATGACCTAAGCCGTTAACTAGGCGAAGGCATGTTCGTAGCTGAAGACATATTGCATTGTTAGTAGGTAATTGCCTGTTGCCATGCGTTAGTGGCTCTTGCGGGAGTGTCATAAAAAGAATGGCTTATGTACTCTCCTAGCATTGGTTTGGCTTTTGGCCTTTCCTTTTTTATCGAGTTTTAGGCTTTTTCATCTGTCTTTCTTTTTGTTCAGATATCCTTTTTGTGTAGCCAAATCGGCATACAAAAAGATACCAGTACAAAAATAAAACAAAAAAAAGCATGTAAACACGCAAAAGAAAACCCAAAACCTATCTGCTTAGGGAATTTGGCTAGTACCAAAAAGGGGAAAGTAATAATATCAGCAATACGTTTTACCTTAAGTCAAATGTACAGTTAATATCGTTGTATAAAAAAATGAATGGATGATTTAAATATTACATTGTTATGTTGCTTGAACCATCAAATTGTTGATGACCGAAAGGATAAAATTATTTTGTACCTCTGTATGGCATCCATATTGTTTCTTTTAACGTTCTTTTTTACCACTGAGAGTTTTTCTAATTATACTTTTGGATTATAATATTATATTTTAGTAACTGTTTGTGGGGATAGTGTAATCTCCGACCAGATCATTCGGTGGCCGCAAATACAGTATCATATTCACCAAGCAATATCCATTTACCAGACAGCATCCACCTGAGGGCAATAGATACTCGTACTGTCTGACAAAAAGATATTGCCTTGTTAATTTGATACTGTCTTTGGGGCCACTAAAAGATTTGCTTGGAGATTAGGGATGGTGTGAGATCCATTTGGACTTCTAATCTCGATAAAGATAGCTACTTAGCACCAAAGATAACAATGATGCTAGCACATCAGTATTCCCCTCCCCCTCCTGGTGAAATGAAATGTATACACAAGCATTTGCTTTCCGAATTCCATGCACGCTAGTAAAACATTGAGTTATTTGGCCAATCTTTTATGCTACATGTACTGAAAATACTGCTGGGTCTGTACATATAGAATACAACACGGTGTATTCCGTATCGCCCGAGGTACCAGGTAGACCGCGCGTCGGATCGCCCGACGACCGAAGGCCGGGAGATCTGAGGGCTTGGACCGAGGGTGATGCGGAATACACCGTTTTGTATCTTATTTATGTCATACCAACCCAAGAAAACACGCCTTTCAATGGCGAAATGAGCGAAACTTTGGTGTCCCTAAACCAAAAAAAAATGCAACAACAACAATCCCAACGTTCGAATTCTGTATTCGAATTTTCGAAAGCGGTGCACGCGGTTAGGGCGAAATGCGTTCGAATCGTTCTATGGGACATTTGGAACCCCCGGGCCGTACGCGGTAAGAACCCCCGGGCCGTACCGCTAGTTATCACACAGGCCGGAACACCTGTATCGAACGTAATCGCGGCCCAGGTATGACATAAAAAATGTATCAGTCTGCTAACATGTACTGATGGGTGTCAAGGTCAAACACATCCCTGCCTCCGGTAGACTCATTACGTCTGTGTAGCATATATCACGACCCTCTCACACAAGCTCTCACATTATAACTGTAATGTAGCGTGTACAGTTGACACCGTGTTCTCTGGGGGAGGCATAACGGCCTTGCATTAGTGACTGCTTTCACCGTCAATATCATTTAGGACATGTTAATTAAATTATATGGATGACATCCGCGCGCGCATGAATTTTCGGCCGTTTCCAAAAAAAAAGTTTTCAACCATACTGAAAATCGTACAAAAAAACAAAGCAGTTGCAAAATATATACTGTAAGTTGCCAAAAAATATTTGAAACCTATACCAATTGCATAGAATGCCAAGATTAAATGAAAAATACGAAAATGTTAA